CGCCACAATCCCTTCTCCTCCATTCTCCTCTCAGGATCTTGGGCACGCATGCACACGCGCCCGGCGTGAGTTTTAAGCCACCGGGTCTGGGACACGAACCGCGGTCGACTATGTGGGAGTCCAGCGACATTGCCATTACGCTAACTGCTGGTTCCCCCCCCCTTTTTCTTTAGAAGACTATTAATTGAAATTTTTGTCTCTAAAACATCAAAAAGTAGGAAATTAAACATCAAGAATTGGCTTTCCTTAAGTATGAAATTCAAGTGTTACATAATGTTATGTCAATGTCTCACCTAACTTGCAAGTACATATATTTTACTATGAAGTGTCATCATTCATTCATTTATTTACCTATTCCACCAGACCACAAAAAAAAAAAAGCTATTGATTTTCTCCTGCAGTCCCAGCACTCAGTGGATTTATCCATTTGATAAGTATTCACAGAGTTCCAGGCACCTTGGTAAACCAAATATTTACTCTTGTGAATCTGCCAGTGATCAAAACATTTTCAGGATTTCCTTTTCATTTGTTTTCAGAGCCTGATACAAAGGTGTTAATTATGTAACACCTTTCATTCATGGAGCCAGTTCACAAACATTGTCTATTATAGTCCTTATGAAAACTAGGGCATGCACTAGACACTGCTGTCTGACAGGATGAGACCATATGGGAGGCCTGGGTTTGATTTTCAGTGTGCCGAAAAAAATCCAGGTGCAGTGGATGAACACCTGTGGTCTCAGCTACTCTAGAGGCTGAGACAGGAGGATTGTGAGGTTGCCAGATCTTGTCTGTAACATCTCACACACACACTCACCATCATCATCATCATAATCATCATCTTCAAGACAATTAAAAAAAAAAAAGGAAAAACAAGAAAGTTATCAGAATATAGGGTTGGGGAATACATTGCTAAATAGATCGTGCTCAATACATCCTTGAAGGCATGATTAACAACCATGTTTGACAGACAAAGACTGGAAGAAGTTAAAGACTTTCTCAGTGTTAACATCCTAATGTGAGAACACAAACTCTGAACTTTGGATCCCAAATTTGTCATTTGTCCTTCTTTTTTTTTCAATACACTAATATCTTTTTTTTTTTTCTTTTCCTGGAGAGGATTGTGCTATAGCATGCATGTGCTCACCAGAAAGACAGAGAGAGAAAGTGAGACAGAAAGCAAGAAATCACCCCCAAGGCGGATGGCCATGCCACAATCCTTCTCCTCCATTCTCCTTTCGGGATCTTGGGCATGCACGCACACATGCCCAGTGTGAGTTTAAGCCACTGGGTCTGGGACTCAAAACATGCCTGACTACATGGGAGTCCAACAACATAGCCAT